AAGAAAAAATCTGTAGAATGTGTTCATAGGTTGTGTGAGCATGTTACTTCCCCGTTGCCGTGACGGTGTAAGGGGTCCCCACTCGAAACCTTTGGCCAGCCAAAGCCAGACCTGCAAGACAACAGGACGGATCTCAGAGTAAGCAGTTCGTTAGGGGCCGGTGTCCATTTCATTCGATCATAGGCCATTTGGACGGGGTCAAACGTCCAAGGTGCCCAATACATCTGGATGCTCAATTAAACCGGTAACCGCTACCGCAATCAGGAAGGTTGAGGTGTGGTTCGTACGCCTGTTCTTGGTTGATTTGAAATCAAGGTATTTAACCATCTCCCCTGGGTGAACTGCCAATGGTTCACCGACCCGGTTATGGCCCCGGATATTGGCTCTTCGTTCTGTCACTTTGGTGGGAGAATATCTCCACCATGACAAGGTAGTGAGTATGATTTCCTCAGCAAAGGCTATTTGAAGCGCTTGTTTGTTTAGGAGCATTTCACGAGGTGCAACGGAACGGTAACCAGTCACAATCCGAGACACTCACCCCGACTATACCGAGGCTTTTTGAGACTTACTACTGGTATGAACTAAGGTGTGTATCAATCTGTTTACGATTACGAGGCTCAGTACCATCCAATGGCTACTACTGCTAATATCACTAATATCTTAATAAAATAATAAATGTGGTGTACTACGTTTGCATTCTAGTATAGATTTCAATTTTTGTAATGGATGAATGCTGATCAATTGTTTCGCCAACTTTTGTTTCATCTCCCTCCGCCGGCCCGCTTGCCTTCACTTTTCATTTATCAACAGAAACTGGAAGCCCGATTTATCGAAAGTTATCAAATATTGTCCGCCGCGGCAGAGACATTGAATCAGCTTACACTGGGTGGTGGTGGTGGTGGTGGATCTGAGGGGTCGAGAACAAAAGGGGGCGAGCTAAATACGGAGGAATTGGTCTGGCTCAAAGTGCTGTTGGACACGCAGAAAAGTCGTATCGATATCTATTCGATGGAGTTCAAAGCGAACCGAGAGTGAGTAATCACGGTTGGTTTCTATTTCCTGTTTTGTTCCAACATCCTCCGGTTTGTGTTGTTCTTCTGTACGCAGTCATGAAACGACAAACTTGTCCGGAACATAGATGTTCTTTGTATTGGCCCACAAGTTAGCAATTATGGTTCTGAATGACAAACAGAGACTTATATCTGTGATCTGCCGTGGCTAAACGCTCCCAATATATTACGCAATCTAATTGCAGTTAGTAACATTATATCTATGGTAGGCAAACACATTCACTCCCCCCCTCGAAAACTTAATCTCTGTTTTCTGTTGTGCACACCTTTTGCAATGTCAACAGGATGTTCTATTTGAAATGATACACTGGTCACCGATCTCCTATCTGGAGTCAGGAGGCGATGAAGTCCAGAGTGTCATACGCCGTATTCTGTTTGTAATTCGCAAACAAGTGTTGTTTTAGTCGGACATGTCCCTCTGCATCGCACAGTACACCTCTCTCTCTCTCTTGCTCGGTTGATATGTGCCGTTTGCATCTATTCGTACTTTGAGGTTGTGGTCAATTCCTCGTTAACTCGGGTTCACGTCTGGATATTCCTTATGAATGTTGAAATCAAACCTCACTGGTACCATGGTCTAAATTATTGGTTTATCGATTTGAACTGACTATCCTTCGGGCTTTATCTTCACGCACAATTCTCAGTTCATCCAGTCAAGCATACACTCGGAATCACTAGACTCAAGTTTCACTCTTATTGGAGCTCATCAGAGGTGCATATTCTCACCATCCGATCCGGGCTTTGAACTCCGAGCACATTGCATGGCTTGTCATTAAATAGTGGAACGGTTAAAGTTTGCCTGTCGGATTGATCCTGTGACCTTCTGGGTCGAAGAACAAGCCCAATCACCGCCCTCCCCTCCCACTGCCATTTTCGGTGTTGGGCAATTCCTCTGTTGCCTGACCAATGCCCCACCTAACATTTCTCAGTAGGTCTATAGCCTCTCGGGGAGAATTGGTTGATCTATTCAGCAATGTGCAATACTACTATAGTATAATATAGCATAGTATACGCCATAGTTGAAAACTGGAGACAAAGAATACAAGAAGATTCATCGACCTTTAACTATCGGGTGAATGATATGGTCCTGCACTGCTTTTAATTTACTTCTTCTGAACGGGAGACTTGTTCACGTAGGCCGTGTTAGGCTTCCCGGATTGGGACATTGTGATCTACGTAATCAGGGGTTAGAGACATAATCAGTTGCGCTCGTGCATCTGTTCATTATCCCCACAATTTTAACCTTCATGAATTCTCTTTCTTCATTCTGGCACTTATTTGAACATTTCAAATTTCCCTACGCTCCTTCGTCTGAATGAAAAGTCACGAGACAGTAACGCAAACCGGCGCATTAAGGTTCATAGTTAATGGGCACGTAAACAGAACTAATACAAAACTAACTTTTAAGTGATCATGTTGAAATTCCTTCACTGAATTCGATCTACAGTCCATTTAAGTGGAAAGATTAGAAATCTCATTCTATGAATTGTTTTCGTTTGTCCATTTGTGTCCGTCAGCGCCAAGCGATTTTATTCGCCTCTTGCCTCACTATTTTTCAGGCATTGGTATGCGCGTGCCGATCAATGGAGCAAATTTTGCAATGATCTTCAACTGCTCAAGGATTCCATTGTGAAACTTAATGCGGCAAATAAAAGTTCAGGAATTCACGCGAATAACACCGAGTTGAAAGTGAGTATAATGTGATGCTTGATGGAATGCAATTTGCATTATGGTTGTGCAACGATTGGTGCATTTTTTTATTTCACATTTAAAGATTGAGAATGATGTGCAGAAGATTCGCAAGCAGCCAAATTTATCATCATCATCCCTTTTGTATATAGTTCAATTTGAATCAAATGAGTCCCGTTCTGCCAGGATTCAAGTTGTCCGAATATCATTTCAAGTTGTCTGAGCCTCATTTCAAGCTGTCTCGTTGACTTCATCGACCCCGACAAGCCTCCCAGAGATGTCTGGATGACCACCAGACATTTAGAGTAGTAGTGTTGATCGATCCGCGATATAATGACCTGTGAAAACACTCACCAGTTTCACTTCTGCTTATTTAAACGAGCACATCAACACGGGACTGATATCACGAACAATCCTAACACAGCGGGTCAATTTGATGGAGAAAAACATGAGTGATTCGAATATGAAAGGATCAGTGTTATCACTGTGGCCTCGTAGTTCCTCAGCGGGCAGTGTGTGCGCTGTACAAAAACGTAAGCCACGTCCATGTATGGGTTCCAGTCCCACCGAGGCTACTGAATTTTGCACAATATCAACATAAATTCTTCACCTTATCAAACAATAATTGAAAACAAGAAAAAATGCAACCAAAAAGGCTGTGATCCCCAATAAGTTTCTGCGTTTGCGTGCGTGTGTGCATCCCTGTGTAAGAAAGTATGGATGATCGTATCGCACTGTATTGTATCGCAGTTTTTACGAATGATATACACGCTTTCAAATCGAAAATACCATCTTCAAACTGTTGGCAAAAGGACAGAGGGGGAGTGGGACATCAAGTGTGCAAAAATAAGAATTACCTATTAAATGCATGAGAAAGCTCAGAAAGCACACTCTCCTTGCTAGTCAATGTCCGGGCAAGACAGGGTAACAAAGTGTTTCTGTATGCAGATATCCGAGATGGGACGAATTTGTATTTGGAACTGGTGGAGGGCTGAGATTTGCATGCACACTGGTCAATGTGTGAAGGATGAATGTGCAATCAGATAGAATATGGTCAGCAAAATTCAAGCACGTATAAGCCAATCAGAACAGATAATGGAACTTGGGAAACACGGCCGAGCATTGATAGGCCACTGCTCAGCAGCTTCAGATTGGCCTTCAGCAAACCGGAGGAAATGACGAGAGATCAGTAAAGGGGTTTAGGGAGAACAAATTGTTGGACAATAGTTCCTATCACCGATAAATCAGCACAGCAGTGACGCAGTTGTCTTATCTGAAAAGAGAGTACTTTCAGCTTGTAAGCAACAGCTCGGCCATGTAAAGACCACCGAAGGTGACTTTTAAGCGTGATACCTAAGTACTTTACATGGCTGACTGTGCTCATTGGCTTTCCCTGGATCTGCACTTTGTCGGAAGGAGATGGCGAACGGTTTAAAGCAAGAACACATTTTTCGGGATTAAGACCGGATAAAGTGGAATACGAAACGAGGCGAGTGATATGAGTCGCAAAAAGATAGGGTAAAAAGACAGCAATTTGAGGTACACCCGAACTATTGAGTGATGCCATTGACTGTCTTCTTCCTAATTTGACATACGGATATCTTTTCGAAGCCATTCAAGAAGAAAAGTGGAACAACCAGAAGATTGGAGCTTGTTAAGCAAAAGCGAACAAGGCATCAATCTAAAAGCCGAAGAAATGTGCAATGGCTTTCTCGTTTATGGACAATCAGGTGAAGTGAACGAGAGTAGAAATGACATTCAGTGTACAGTGATTATGTTTATATGCAAATTGATAAATGTCTTGGGGACTGATGTGAGATAACTGAAAACGATGCAGAACTGATCGTTTCATTATTTTCAAACCAGGGGAGGTGAGAACCATTGAACTGAAACGCTTCGCTATTGGGGACTTTAACGTTTCACATTGGGGATGGGATTAAGTCTCACCGAGCGCCAGCAATCCAGAACAGTTCGGAGTTCGAGTGAAAGATTAGCTAGGTGTGTGCACAAATGAGAGACAGTGGCTAATGCATTGCAATTAAGCAGTATAGGACCTAATTTGTCTGGACCAGGTTCGGTGGACACCTTGAAAGAAAGCACGTAATGGGTTCAAACGAAGATGGGAGGTTTTTTAAGAAGTCGAGCTAATATAACTGGGGCAACTGTCAGACGAAGAACGAATAAATGCATCATTCAGTTGTTCACTGTTAATAGAAGAACTGGAAGTCATTTTCTTATGCCCACACAGAGTAGTTTAATTCCACGCCAAATAGATATACAACTCCATGTCCCCAAAAAACTGGCTTGCATCAAGGGAATCCAACCGTCTTGTTCCATTATTAATTAGAAAAGCCAGTCGCTGCATTTCAGCCCTCTTGTCACATTTAAATGTACGTTCCTTTTCACGACAAGCAAGTTTAAGAAAAGATGTTGCTATTCTGCCATGTTGAAGGAATAAAGTTATCACAGGACAGCACATGTCAAAAACACGGTTCAGTAGGTCTGTTAGAAAAATCGTATTTTTTGTGTTTATACTGGTCGTACCACCCGCCACTTGGCCAAACGCATTCGAGAACACTACCCCCGCTGGCTTAGTCGCGGATTGACGAGACCTCCTGGGGGATGGCGATCACGCTCATTTGGTCGAAACCGAACATCGTGTCAGAATGATTGAAGCGGTCAGGTCCATCTACACGATCACCGGAGTGATATCGAAGCAGGTCAAGTATCGCTTACTGTCAACATCCGAAGCGATCGCAATTCGGTTGAACAACCCACTTGTGTGTTCAAAAGCAGTCAGTTAGAGCCCTGGATTTACCAGGATCAATCATAAACGATAGAGTGACACAAAGCCGGTCATCAAATGAGTGTCAAATCGTTTAGTATATTCGAATCATTTGACAGTGCAAAGGGAATTTTCAGAATGATTTGAACTCTCATGCACCCATCACTATCATGTCCATAGTATCCATACACAAGCATGAAAACATATACATTATCTACGTATTTTCTGTTTCTCTGAATTGTGATTTTGTGACCTATAAAAGAGTAATTATTTCCCCAGATGAACTTGAACAAAGAACACCACACTGTAAACGAGCACAATTTAATTCCGGAATCTTTTCTCTACATCTCTGCTGTTGCTTACTGCAGAATAAAAAGTAGTTCATATACATCACAGGTGTTGATAATCTAACATGGTATCAATTCACTCTTCCGCTTACCTAGTTACCACGGCAATGCCGATTGATCGGTACTCAAACACCACAAATAAATGGGTTACCAAAAGTGTGTAAACCTGGTAAACCATTTCGATCAATAGTGTCCATGGGAAATTCTCCATAACACAATATGGCCAAGTGGCTCGTTAAAATACTGTAGTCGGTAAGAAAATCCATTGCAAAGTACTCCTCGAAAGATAGTTTCGAACTTAGAAAGATTCTAGATGAGCTAAACATGAATGATTGTCACATGGCATTTTTCGATGTCGTTTTTTTTTTGTTCACCAATGTGCCTGTTGTAAAAACCAAACAAATCATTTGTGACTTCGTGTTGGAGAAACAAATCCAGTGGACATTCGGTTTTCTATCCTGGTGCATCTACTTATTCTATGCACAACGGAGGTACAATTCAGTTTTCAAGGTCGACGATTTAGACAATTCGATGGCGTTGCTATGAACAGCCCATTGGGTCCTATTCTAGTTGACATTATTCATGGCTAGTCTGGAGAACAAAGCCAGTAGAACATTAAACGGTATTGCATGTTGACATGTTGATAATTACCCCAAGGGTCAGGGAGACCGAGGGTTTGTTAGCTGAACTGAATTCCCTTCACAAGGACATCCAATTCACTATGAAAACTGAACTGAACAACACACTCCCATTTCTAGATATTGCTATTGAGCGAAGACCAGAGAGAACTATCTAGAGGTCCGTGCATCGAAAGTCCACGTGGACCGGCCAGTACATGAACGTTGGGCGTTTTGCTCCCATTCAATACAAATGGGGTCTCGTGCGTACCCTGTTTGATCGAGCTAGGAGGTTTTGTACTCCGGATAATGTGGAGAGTGAGCTAATTTGGCTCACGGAAACTCTAGAGCTCAATGGTTACCCAGCGAGGTTTATACTAAGACACAGTGTACAAGCCGAACATAAGACCTCCGGGATGACCGCACCAAAATGTGACGTTCTCATTCGACTACCGTCCAATAGTGACGATGTAGGCCAACTTGTACGTAGACGGCTAGTGGCATCGGTAGCCCGCACATATTTTGATGCAAATCCGGTCGTTCGCTTCACCACAACCCAAATTCCGAAGCCCTGGGTTAAATCACCGCCCCTGTATCCGCCAAATCGAACGTAATCTATGAATTTCAATGTGGGTGCGGAGCCACTTACGTGGCAGCTGTGCACCCAAACGTCAAAACACATACCAGGATGGGTTGAACGCAAACGGATCAGATTGAGGGCTACACAGACAACCAGCCCACCAAGCCAGCCGCACAGAACACCTGCATCATCAGTTGGTCGCCATCTTCTGCAGACTGGTCATCAAGCCGACCGCGGAACTTCTTTTCAGGTTGTTTACACAACCTCGAATGGACGGCTGCTGATATTAGCAGAGGCCATAGCAATCAAGCGCTAAAAGCCCTTGCTTTGTCAGCAAAAGGAGGTCTACATCAGTTTTACGTTGCCTCGGTAACCACGTACGCGGAAGAGTAGATTGATACCATATTAGATTATCAACACCTGTGATATATAAACTGTTCTTTATTCTGCAGTAAGCACCAGCAGAGATGTAGCGAAATGATTCCTGAATTAAATATTGTTCGCTTGTAGTGTTGTGTTCCTTGTTTAACTATAAAAGAGTGCTGCGTTTGGCGAGTAAATGATACACTGAAAACGAGCTTGTCTTCCGAATTGACGTATTGATACGGAAAACACCAGTCAGTAGTGGATTGGGTGTAGTGGATGACAAAGTATATGTGTTTGTTGTAGGTTTGAATGATCTCATAACCATTCACTGAGAAAAGTCTTTCACAGAAATATCTCTAAAATTTCTTCCATTTTTATTCCTGACCTCCTTGTTCTTCAGGAGCAACTGCGTTTAGCCTGCGGTCAGTTTGCCGCTCTAAATGAGCTAGCCTCTGTCCTAATTGCCACGGAAGCTGACAGAATTAAACACTTGGGATTGACGGGAATCACTCCGCCCCCGTACGGTACACCGAATGAGACTGGGATACCCAAATCTCCCGTGAGCACAGATCCCACAACTCCACCGGCTGTACCACCTAGGAAGAACAGCTTGCATCGTGGTCGTGCCCTCATTTCCGGCGAGCACGAACAAAATTTGATACAGACCGAACTGAGTGCAATGCGAAGTCATTTACAAGAGTTGTGTCGAAATCTGCGATGTCCGGACTGGTCTAGTGAACATGTATCCGTACGATCCGAGATGCCAATTCACTCACAAACACCTGGTGGAACTGGTTCCATCAAAGATTCCAGTCAACAACAGTACGTACTTGCATTCCTTTTTCAAAATACATTTATGTTGTCTGTGTAAAAAATCAATCAATATTTTTTGTTCCTCTTTCAAGGTCTTCGTATGTGAATGTTAACTGGCCAGAAGACAGTGTACCTCCGATGGCCCATTCTGCGTTAGAATCTCTCGGAAACTACCGTGGTGAGGTGGAAGCATGTCTGCATGGACTTTCGGAGGAGAATCGGTGGTTCGCTGAAGAGTCCGGACTGGTCCCGACTAGTTTACTCAAGAGAAAATCTGATGACATACTGCTCGCGTCCGCCGCAAATCGTACCAAACCTACAACCCCGGCTGAATTACGTCTGGATAATCGATTTTGGTTGGGCTCTGCTACAACCACCGATGGGACCGGGCTCATTGAATCCACTCCAAGTTGGCTAAAGTCCAAATGGGCCGAATTAGAGGTAACCTGTGAGAAATCTGCTTTACTCAAATTATTTTTCTTTCTGTTCTTCGTTGAAAAATCCAATTTTGCCCCAAATTATGCTTTAAAATTCACTCAAACTCCCTAATGAATGTGAAAACATATACTCCTTTATATATATATATATATATATATATATATATATATATACCTGGTCGTGAAA